GCTTTTCTAGATTTGACGTTGGGCAGGTTCATTCTAGTAAGAGAAAGCTTCTTGTCCTTGATGTGAATGGACTTCTTGCGGACATAGTTTATTCAGCCCCGAAAGGCTGTCGGAGAGACACACATATTTTAGGGCGAGCAGGTGAGATTTGATGATGAGTTGAATCTGTCTTTGATTTATTATTGTTACTTTTATTTTTTATATCTAAGATATTCGAAAAGTCCAACTACCGGGTTTATTTTGACCTCACCCTTCTTTTTGGTATATGTAGTTTTCAAGAGACCCTACTGTGACGATTTTTTGAAGTTTTGTTTTCAGAACTTTGATGTTGGCATATGGTCGTCAAGGTCAAAGTATGTTTTAAGCTAGTTTCTTCTCTATATCTCTCTCTAAAAAATGTGTTGATTCTAGCATTTGTTTCGTACTAATTTCATTCTTGTATCTTCGACAGAATCTACTTATATTATAGAAATTGTATCCAATTCCTGAATTGTCATGCTGACTTCGGACTATATATTTGAAATGCAGGAAACTTATTGACCTACTTGTTAAATTTTTATTAGGCGATCTATAAGAACACTTGTTGTTTTGTTGGGTAAGCGGCTCTCTCAAAACTTCCATATGTCATGGTACAAAAACAGTTTTTAGTAGTTTGAAGTTTGTGATACAAAAAATATGGTTTACTGCAGTATATGTTTCATAGCACTCAAACTGGCTTCAACACTCTTGAAAACTGTGATAAACCTTTGGTTTTCAAGGACATCAGGAAAATCTGGGAAAGTGATGGTCCTAATTTACGTTGGAAAAAGGGACAATATAATGAAACAAACACATTATTGTTGGATGATTCTCCGTATAAGGCATTACTCAATCCAGTAAGATTCGTACCTTTGTACCTGTATATTTCTTGTGTGTGTTTACTTCTTTTCAGTTATGTCCTAACTGTTTGTTTTTCAAATTCCCTATAGTTGCACACGGCAATATTCCCCAATTCATACAGTTACAAGGATAATAAAAGTGACAATTCCTTAGGTATTGTTCTTGGTGTATTTTTGTTGTTATATATTTGTTTGTTCTTTTCTTTTCGTGGTTATTTTTACCGAAAGGTGCCCTCACATTAAAATACAGACTTATTTTGTTGAATTTTGTTGCAGGCCCAAAAGGTGACCTTCGGGTCTATTTGGAAGGATTGTTGACATACGAAAATGTGCAGAAATATGTCGAGCAACATCCTTTTGGTCAAAGTGCTATAACTGAAACTAGTCCGTCTTGGGGATTTTATTCAAATGTTATCCAGACAGTCAATCGGGGTGGAAAATAACGAAGCAAATACAATCTTTTTAGGCTCTTCACAAAGTCAATCGAGCAACATCCTTTTTAGATGTTGAAGCTTTGTTCTCTTATAGTTTGTTTTTTAGAGCAGATGTTCGTGTTGGAAATTTTAGAGCATATGTTATTGTCGGGGTTTTATTTTTCCTTGAATAGGCCTTCATTTGAAATATCATATTCTTGCACACTCTCTAACTGTAGACGATGCGAACATAAGAGTTCGAGTTCATATTCTCTTGCATTTTAGTTTCTGTATCTTGTCTCTGTGTGTATGTTGTTCTGTACTCTTTTCATTTTGGAATTGTGAAAATATATGAACTGAATTTTTGGCTCATTTTGTTGGTGTGCCAGGCAAGAAACGGGTTTTTTGACAATAATATATGAAACTAGTTTCAAAAAACAGTTTTTAGCAAGACAATAGGTAGTGAGGGGGCGAAAAATGGGTTTCTTGAGAAATAAAGGGGTTCTTGAACATAAAACGAGTTTCTTGAACAAGAAACGAGTTTCTTGAACAAGAAACCCGTTTTTTGCTCAAGAAACCTGTTTCTTGACCAATAAACTATTTCTCGAACAAGGAACCCGTTTTTTGCTCATGAAACCTGCTCAAGAAACTAGTTTCTTGAGAAATAAACGAGTTTATTTCTCAAGAAACTAGTTTCTTGAGAAATAAACGGGTTTCTTGAACAAGAAACCCGTTTTTTGCTCAATAAACCTGTTTTTTGACCAATAAACTATTTCTTGAACAAGAAACCCGTTTTTTGCTCAAGAAACTAGTTTCTTGAGAAATAAACGGGTTTCTTGAACAAAAAACGCTATCAAATAGGCCTTTGAAAGGAAGAATTTCTTGAACAAAACCACACTTTGTTGAACAAGAAACGAGTTTATTTCTCAAGAAACTAGTTTCTTGAACAAGAAACCCGTTTTTTGCTCAAGAAACCTGTTTCTTGACCAATAAACTATTTCTTGAACAAGAAACCCGTTTTTTGCTCAAAAAACATGCTCAAGAAACTAGTTTCTTGAGAAATAAACGGGTTTCTTGAACAAAAAATGAGTTTCTTGAACAAGAAACGAGTTTCTTGAACAAGAAACCCATTTTTTGCTCAAGAAACTAGTTTCTTTAGAAATAAACGGGTTCCTTGAACAAAAAATGAGTTTCTTGAACAAGAAACCATTTTTTGAACAAGAAACCCGGTTTTTGCTCAACATACCTGTTTCTTGACCAATAAGCTATATCTTGAACAAAAAACAATTTCTTGAACAAAAACGAGTTTCTTGACCAATAAACTATTTCTTGAACAAAAAACAATTTTGTTGAACAAAACCACAATTTGTTGTTCAAGAAACTGGTTTCTTGAACAAAAACGAGTTTCTTGAACAAGAAACTGATTTCTTGAGAAATAAATGGGTTTCTTTAAAATAAAACGTGTTTCTTGTTTGAGCCAAAGTGGTCGGTTTTTCGTGTTACAAGTTTAATGTTTGATGTGTTTGTTTTTCCGCTGATCTTTACTGCCGCATGTCAAACATCCTTCTTC